AAAAACAAAAAAAAGAAAAAATCTTCGAAAAAAAAGCCGCGAGTGAGCTGGGTCCCGACACACACACACACACACATTATATATATATATATATATATCAAACTCATATAAATTAAAATAAAACAAGTACGTCCACATTTAATCACAAGTCAATTCATTTTATTATATAAAAACATTGTAGTATACTTCTTAGTTATTATCCCTTAAATGAAGTGAATTCATTCCTACGTCAACACATAGTTATATCTATTGATCTTAAGTTATTTACAATACATATAAACATGCAACTTTATATTGAATATAAAAATCTATAAATAAATAAATTAAATAAATAAAGGTAGTCTAGTCCAACTCTAAAATGAGGAGAAGACTTTGTTTTTGCCCATAACAAAATTAGGACCATATTGGAATGGGATTGATTTAGAAATATGGTACATAATAGCCCTAAAACGTGGAACAAAATTAATTGACTTGGAAAAAATCCCATTGCCTTTTGTTTCTTCGAGCACGCCAATAAGCCAAGTCTATTGCCCTTTTACATAGAGTTGAATAATTTGGCCCAATTTGCAATCCATATGGTTTTATTCTCTAAGGTCTCGTTTGGTTGTTAAAATAAGCCATGGTTAATTAAATTGTTGGACTTAATTTGATGTTTGTTATCTCTAATAATTTGCCGGGTCGATCCGAAATTATATAATCATGGCTTATCTTGGCTTATCTTGCCTTCTAGTGAACTTTTTTTTTTTGGACGTGTTTCATTAGACTATTTAATCTTATCTTGGCTAATCTTATCTTGCCAACCAAACAGGGCCTAAGCTTCTGTTCGATTTAAATATGTTTTCTAGGATTAAACTATGTTGAATGAGGATCGTTTAATGGGTTTGATTTTGATATAATGTTAAATGACCACTTCAACTAAAAACTTAGTTGTTAGTGAAACTTACGTATCATGTAATATTAATATTTTCAATAAAGTAGTTATTATAAGATTGAAATATATATTCTATGAAATTTTATTTGTATTGTTGAAAAATGGGAAGTTCAATAAATAATGTCTTTGTTAGAATTTATTTCGTGCAGATATAAATTATTTGTGTCAGATTCAGTTTTTCGTTACTGTTGCGTGAAGTGTTGCAACAGTTCGTGAAGCAGTTCGTAAAAACAGAAATAAACGAGACACAAATTTTAATGTGGTTCGGATACAATTGTACCCTACATCCACGGGGACCTGCAAATAAAATTTACTAATTTTTAGTTTTACGAATACAGTAGTAGGACTTAATCAAAATACAAAGACTCCCTCTTTGTTGACGCCGTTCTTGTATACTACACTGAATTATAAATCTTCAATTTGCAGCACGTCCCTTGCTCCGCACGGTTGAACTCCCTTCAACGCTGAATCCCTCAGTCGGCGGATCGATCTCCTCCCGAGATCTGTTTAAGCCCCTCTCCCGAAGAACCGATCTTCTTTTTATATAGACGAAGCAAACTTGTGATACTCGTTGAATCTTGGTGTCTTCACCACAAAGCCTTGAAGCCGATATATTTTCTATGAAAATCACGTATCACGATGGAGCAATAAAAACGAGAGGAAAAAATATATTTTCTCTGAATTCTTCTCTCGATTAAGATCAAAAGGTCTGGAGCAGCAACGTAAGAGCAGAAAATAATTTTTCTCTCAAAATAAAAGGGACGGCCTCCAAAGACGTTGATGCTCCTCCTTTTATACTTCCTTTTGAATAGTAGAGCCCTGTGCAAATGTATAGCCCATTAGGTTATTTTTATTCTCACGTAAGGAAGAAGAGTTGTGAAACAAATGAAAGTCTTTTGTCAAGAAAGTTCCTTGTTAATCAAAACACTTAGGCAATTTAATAAATTAATGACAAAATAAGAGTTTAAACGAACTAAGGAAACTTCCCTAGTTTTTATACACGGTTTTCACACACGTGCTGAAAAACCGAAATTAGAATCCTCTCGGATTCTAACAATCTCCCCCTTTGTCATCTATTTATTATAATCAAGTCCTCCCCCTTAGTCAAATACCTGAAAATAAAACAATTAGATGATAGACGGAAACAATAAAACTAAGGATCATCATCAACTCTTTCAACAACAAGAGTGGCATCAACTGCTGCAATAGTAAGTGCCACACTTTCAGCAACTGTTCCCACAGTAGTGACTTCGGCAGGTGGTTCACAACAAAGTTAACTCCCCCTGCATATGTATCTCCCCTGTGCATGATCCTTGTGCATGATCCTTAGGCAGCTCCTCTTGCAAATGCATTCATTCTTCCCCTTTGCTTACTTGGCTTGGTAGACATTGAGATCGGTGGAACGCGACGTGGTAAATCATCCACGTGATAAGAGACTCAGCAAATAACGTCGGCATTATAGCTCCTCCTTTTATATTCTTGTGAAGACCTAAACCAATTAATGACAATAAACATCTCCATAGAATTTCACTTGGTGTTGTGGACTTAGAATCCCATGAGATTCTAACACTCTCCCCCTTTGGCATTGATTGGTCAGAATATTTACTCCCCCTAACTATATGATACATGCATGAACAAGGGTTAGCAAATTCAGAATAACATCTGCACATATAAACTGTTGCAACAGTTTATCAAACAGTTCAGCAGATAGTGTACAGTTGTTCAATTAAGCAAAGAACAATAAAAAATATGCAGTAGCAGAATCAACTTCCCTTTACAATGAATTCCTCCTTATTTGTCATGTATTTCTGCACTATTCCAACAACTGTATGATGCATTGTCTCAACTGTTGTCTGAACTCCCACTGCATTCATGTACTGTTCCAGCAGCTGTCTGATGCACTGTCGCAACAGTTGTCGGAACTCTTCCTGTGTTCATGCCATCGCTGACTGTTCTTTTCTCCCCATTTCTGGGCAATCACCATGCATAGATAACTCAACATGGGCTAATGATCTTGATGATTCGAGCAAGCTGTTCAAACACTTAACAAAAAGATCAAACGTAGAGAGAATTTTGAAAGTAAGTAAGCAGAATCACCATACACGACGAGCACACAAAATCACAAACTCACAAACTCAATACCACACGATAATTGCAATGCGAAAATCAAAGGATAGTGATATCAAATCCAACATTAAATAACAAAGGCTACAGACTTTGCCAAACTTCATACGAAACGTG